AAAACGCCATAAGAAGCAAGATCAGCCATCAATGGCAGACTGCGGAGATATGACTGATACATCTCTTGAGTGGCCTGGGTGTCGCGTGCACTCACTCTCTCTCCTTTGGCACGTTCTCGGTGTCGCGCGAACTCACTCTCTCCTTTTCCGCACGCTCACACTCTCTGTTAGTGACAGTGCTTCGGGTCTTAGTTTCCCACATTCGTCAGAAGTTAACCCCCAAATTGAAACGGGTAATGAAAATATTCAACTTTAGTCATCCTCATGTTGTGAAACACTATCGAAATGTCCCGGGCTGATTATATTAGACTTCTGTTTTCAATAGCGATTTGAAGCATTTAGTACAGGAAGTACTCGGCTCTACATGGGTATTATTATTAATCAGAAGTTGAGGGTAAATAGTTTTACGTTAGGAAATGCAGTCCTGAATTTACCAATTTGCCAAGTCCCGGAGAAAAGATTGATGAAACACATTGATCAAATGTAATTTTCAGTCATTCTCATGTAAGTCATATTTAACTTTAGTTTTGCCTTCATTCATTTGTGTTTTTATTCTTGACATAAAGCACAAGTTTTCAACACATGATTTATTTAAAACACGTTTATAAACATAATAGTCTAACTTGGTAATTTCTAATAACTACTTTTTGTCTTTGCTATATTGACAGTCACTGCATAATATTTTACTAGATATTTTCCCTTTAAGTATTCGATATTCTTTGATTCAGATTAAGGTGTAATTTAAAGACTTCACTATATATGTTAACTCAGAAGTTGGAAGTCAAGTTATTGTATAACTGGTTTGTTGTGTAGACAATCAAAAATAAACAGTAAATGTTTCTTAAGAAGGCTAATAATACTGACCTTAAAATAGTTTTTTAAAACATTAAAATCTGCTTTTATTTAATACAAACTGTAAAAAATAAGACTTATGACTCCAGAAGTATTATTTTGGTTTCATAGAAAATACTGTGAAAATCTCCTTGTTTTGTTAAAGATCACCTGGAAAACATTATTTTAAATTAATGGGAGGGCAAAAAAATGACTTAAATTGCATCTGTTAAAGTTTATAGGTGCAAAAATGTGCCTTGATGTACTTAAATGTTATAAATGTGTTATCCTAGTACAATACAATCTGATGTGTCAAATAAATGAACATGGAAAAACGACATTAAAAAAAGACTTTGAATATTTGTTGAAGTAGTTTGTGAAGCATGTTTAGGTGTGCCCCCTAAAAGTACAAGTGGCCTCTGCCTGCCCCTCCCAGTCACTATGGTCAAGAACCGCAACTGCAGTGTATATTTTCTCTTTTTCAGACCATTCTATGTAAACGCTAGAGATGGTTGTGCTTAAAAATCCCAGTAGACAATGCGCCTTGACAAATTTGACACAAATGGATTTGCTATTCAAACAGTGTGGTGCCAAACATGGAAATTAGGGTTGTGCTGGTCTGAAAATAGCAACAAATCACGCCATAGACATCTTGCGCGCTTAGTGGGTGTATCATAGAGCCCTAAGACTTATTTGCAGAAAGAATGGGACAAAAGTACACCTGAAACACTTAATCACTTGGTGTCTTCAGTCCCTAAATGTCTTTGTAATGTTGCCATTCATTTATTAATTTTTAAATGTGTTGCAAAAACCAACATTAAAATATGTGCTTATTTTGAAAAAACTATAAAAGTCACGAGGAACACATTAGATAATGTTTGTTTATTGTCTGCAATGAAATACAAGTCAAAGTAAATTTAGAAAGCACTGCTATCTTTTTTTATTTATTTGTGTTTTGCATACTGATTGATATTCATACTGACCAACTTTTTACTGATATGGGGTAGTAATATGGTATGTATTATGCAAATTAAAGTGCATCAAAACAAGGTATCCATTCTTTTTACTTTTTTACAAGACGCATTTATTTCAATGTAGGTTTATATCAAAGTCATAGCTGACATCCACCGCCTTTTCATTTGCTTGTTTCCTGTCTTGCTCGCAAGATGAGTAACATGTGTTTTGTGTATTCAGTAGTATTCCTTCACATTGAAAGCAATGAAGAATAGATAATGATAAAATAAGAGACATGTCTGAAAAAAAACTGTAGAAAGTGGTAACAAGACACATTTGAATGCATGTTAACACCAGGTGGAAACAGCAATACTTCAATGACCACTTGTCATTGAAACACTGAAAACGCAATTTAATTTCAGGTGAAAATACGCTTTAAAATATCTACTATAATCTAAAACATTACAAATCCAGCACATTCACAGGCAAACGCCTGCTGCTACTGTTCCCTAATGTAAATATGCTGTATTGGTAAACAATATGGCTAGAAAAGTAAAGTGGGGGTAGTACGAAGCCTGTGGCACACCTTTGTTAATGGCCAGAAGGTGGGAGGTAAACTTGATCTGCCTTGTAGAAAATCGAGCAGCCGGCAGCACTTGGCTGGCTTTATGCCCGTGTTTAGTTTTTCTTACGAAGATGGGTGATATTGAAAACCGAAGGGAAGTCAAACAGCAGGACACATGCTAAGGTGTTTAGCGTCTTCGGGTGATATAATGCATAGTGTGTCAAAGGTGCCAGGTCAGTGGCATACACGAGTGGGAGGCTGTTTTCAGATGCACACTTCGAGATTTCAAAGGAGATCCTGCAGGCGGATGCGCTTCTTCTGCCAAAGGCCTTTCCAAATGGAGGCATATGTAATAGTATGAAATATTAACTTATTAAATAATTTAGTTTGAATGCCAGATAAATTGGTTAACAGCATTTCATATTTCATACAGTTTGGTTTTTATGTGCATTGGGATGTGGTTGTTTTGTATTTTGCCCTCAGCATCTTTATAGTGAGATATATTTGCCATGTCTGATGCTCAGAGGCATTATGCTTGTAAAGATTTTATAAGATATACTTGCTTAAATGTGTATGATACAGTCCATGACTTTGGCTGTGCACATGCAGTAAATTTTTTTTTATATTTTATATAATATAAATATATCATTTTTTTGCCATGATAATTGTACATTAAGGTTTTACTACACAATTTTCAAGAGACTAGTATTCAGTTTAAAGTGCAATTTAAAACCTTAACTTAGTGAATTAGTTTAAATAGGCAAGTTAGGGTTCTGCAAATAAACAAATACATTTTTAAATCCATAAATTTCTGTATATATATTTTTAAATATGTTTGTACAGCGGGCAAACTAAGTATTAAATACGCTTTTTTTTTTCTACAAAATAATATTTCTAAAAGAGCTGTTGACATGGATTTGAACCAGATTTAGGTAAAAACCCAAACAATACACTCATTAAAATTAAACAAAACAACAAAAAAGATTATTTTTTTATTTTTAATAACAATGGAATGACAAGGAGAAAGTACTGAACTACTGAATTGTATTTAATACTTAAAAAAAGACTTTTTTGGGAGATGACAGCTTAAATACACCTCTTATATGGTGACACATGAATTTGCTCAGGTGTGAGTTTTTCCACAGACTTTAACAGAGTGAAAAAATCTTGATGGTTCTGTGGGTCTCTCTATCAAATCTGATCTTTATTTTGAATGCTCTATTGCAGGTGTGGCCAACCCTGTTCCTGGAGAGCCACCTTCCTGCAGATTTCAGTTGTTACCCATATCAAACACAGCTGAACCAATTAATTAGGACCTGAACACCACGTGATAATTACAGGCAGATGTGTTTGATATGGGTTGCAACTGAAATATGCAGGAAGGTGGCTCTCCAGGAACAGGGTTGGCCACCCCTTCTCTATTGGATTCAAGTCAGGTGATTGGCTGGGCCATTCTACAGCTTGATTTTCTTTCTCTTAAAAAAATGTAAAAGTTTCTTTGACTGTGTTTTGGATTGTTGTCTTGCGGAAATGTCCACTCTGGTTTCGTCTTCATCATTCTGCTAATGTAGATGTTGTACTGAAGCAGCTAATATTCATTCAGAGGGTTGCTGAAGAATAACTAATAGATTTCAGATGCCTTCCTACACATTCCTTTCTTCATGTGTTCAATACTTTTTTCTGTGTCATTTCGTTTTATTATGCATAACCTCATTTGTAAACTAATTAGATTTGTTTTCTTTGCATAAGGATTTCTTTGGTTGCTACTAACATCCAGGAAAAGTCAAAAGCACCTTTGGAAATATGTTTTCTGAGAAAAAAATGATGTGTTCAATACTTATTTTCCCTGCTGTATGTAGCACTATAATTGGTAAAAAAGAAAAAAAAAAAAAAAGAGTAGCAAAGAAAAAAAATGTAGAAAATGTGCAAAAATCATTTAATTAAAATATTTCTACTTAGTGTAATATTTAAATCATTTTTTAAACTATAAATTGGGTTTTTAAACAAGAAACTACATCAATGTCTTTTTTTATTTACATTTCGCATGTCTGTTTTCAAATAATTACTGAAATTATCACAATATTACACATTTGGTGGTTCATTAAGTCTATAAAATCTACAATTATAGCCTGCATGAATTTAAAAGAAACACAGGATTCTGGAAGAGCAGATTTATTTTACTGTCATTTTGCCAGATACAGAAAATCTGAGAAAAACAATAAATAAAGGTGGAAAAAAGTGGTTAGTTTACTTTTATCATAAAGTGAGTACAATTTGAATAATTATAAAAAGTCAACTTGACAGTTCCAAGTTACAATTGGTTTACTAACATTATTTTTGTATTGTCAACTTGACTTGTTGCTTTTAAAAATGGGTTTACTTGCTTTAGGTTACTAATCACTGTGTGTGCACAGCTTTTTTACAGTGTCATCTAAAAGAAGGGTGTTCAGCTCTAACCCTGATCAAACACACCTGAACTGATTAATTAGGACCTAAACAGTACTCGATAATTACAGGCAGGTGTGTTTGATTTGTGTTGCAACTGAAATCAGCAGGAAGGGTTGAGCAGTCCCTGATCTAAAAGTTGGAAAAGCCTTGTTCTATTGTGTCAGTGTTTCTTTAAGACGTCTTCTTCTGCTCTGTTTTGAAGGTATGGGCTGTTTGAGAAGCAGCTGGCTTTCTTGGAGGAGGCTGAAGGAGGCTTTGATCATTTCACTCGCAGTTATGAGAGTTTTGGCGTTCAGCGGCTGCAGGACAACAGCCTGGTCTTTAAGGAATGGGCTCCGGCTGCAGAGGCTCTGTTCCTCACTGGAGACTTCAGTACGTCTTTTCTCATTCTTAGGTCTTTTCCCTGAAGCCCCAGGCACTCTCTGTCTGCCCGTCGGGCTGTGCAGCAACGCTTTCTGATAGATCTTCGATCCCACTGGGATTAGGCCTTAAGCAAACATGAAATATCAAATAAACTTCTAGCAGAGCAAGTGTTAAGCTAAAGTTCAGCCAAATGTCTCATAGTTCCTTTGAAATATAAGCAATTCTATTAAATATATAACGTTTATGACTTTGTACTTGAAAAATGATTTTTAATAATGTTATATGCTTACAATTCAACATTCAGCCTCGTATAACATACAAATAATAAGGTTGAAAATTTTAGTAAATTAATGTAAAAATATATTATGTTTAAATTGAACATATTAAATGTAATTAATGTTCTCACTGTGTATGTGAATAATCATTTATTTTTATCAGTTAAATTATTAAGCTAATCAATCATTAATCTATATAATAAGTATATAAGTAAAATTGCTGTATTTTCAGTTTTGGTAAGTTTTTTTGGAATGTACTTGAGTGTAATTGTACAAATGTAAATAAAATAAAATAAAAGTAATTAAATGAAAATACACATTAAGGTAACTTAACTGACTATCGAAAAAAAATACAGCTTAAAGCGGCTAATAATTTTGACCCTAAAATGGTGTTTAAAAATTAAAAAACTGCTTTTATTAAATAAGACTTTCTCCAGAAAAAAAATATTATTAGGCATACTGTGAAAAGATAATTTGGGAAATATTTAAAAAAGAAAAAACAAAAAAACAAAAACAAAGGGGGGCTTATATTATTTACTGTCATCATGGCAAAGATAAAATAAATCAGTTATTAGAAATGAGTTATGAAAACTTATGATTAGAAATGTGTTGAATAAATCTTCTCCCCGTTAAACAGAAATTGGTGGAAAAATTAAACAAGGAGGCGAAAAATTTAGGGGGGCTAATAATTCTGACTTCAACTATATATAACATTATATTACCATACTAAGCGGAAATACTTGGCTTTTTATTCAGTTTGGCATGTTTAGTAAAATGTAATGTTATATACACCGGCAGCTTATGAATATGTACTTTGTATTATGCATAATTAAATTAATAGTGCTCATTTTAGTGCCTTAAAAATGTTTAAGCTTTACAATAAATTAAAAAAAAACTACTTGTGTTAACAACCTAATATTTTTCGTATTCTGTGATGTTCATATCTTAAAACTTCAAAAACTTAACAACTTTTGAAAACTTAGTGTTATCGCGTTGATATTTTGTTCTATTGTAGAATTCATAAATCATACACGAGTCTGTCTATTCATCTATATCTTGCGTCAACTTGTATTGGACTGTTTGTTCGCTTTGACAGTTTATTGTTTCATCTTAAGCTGAACACAATGTTCTTTCATTCAGTTTAAAACAAAAAGAAGAAACCCTTCAAGGTTGTTTGAATCTCCTACAAGAGTGAACGCAGTCAGTCTGTCACTAATGCCTTGTCTTTTGAAATCTGTTGTTTTCAAAATCCTGGTGTAATGATTTCACACTAACAAAGTGCATGAAGGCCGAATTTGAAGGCATTTGCTTGTCTTTTCTAGTCATTAGAAAGTTTTTAGTTTGTTTGTTTTCATACAGAAGTAGTGAGACGGACTATATAGACTGCAGGCCAGAATTTCTAGTTTTATCAACACACACTTGTTTTTGAACAAACAAATGATTTGTTGCTCAATTTTCTTAGAGAATAAATTAAACCCGAAATGGACTAGCCTGGTTATTAATATTGCTTTTCTTAAAGATGTAGTAGGTGATTGTCTTCAGAAACTTGTTTTGTTGCGCTGGTTGAAAGTCTCTTCACAGTATAGTAGTAATGATTAAAGTAAATGATCTAAATGTATTTATATGTATTTATATATTTTGGGTAAGGCATAAAACAAAACAAAAAATGCATTCAATTAAATAGAGTCGGAGCGACATCTCTCATAATTCCGGTAAGTAGCCCAATCTGTCAGTCAGCAAATGCAGATTTGTACAACTGCGCAGCCGTTTGTACACAGCTCCGGCGACCGCCGCGCGTTCACGAGTGAGAGCACACTTGCGCACAATCGGTAAAAACATGCTGAATCAAAACTTTTTAAAAACCTGAATCAATATTGGAGTTACCTTTGCACGCTGGAGAAAAAATGACAATGGCTGATGGATTTTTCTGGTAATGTTCTGTTATAAAACTGTTTTAGCTTCACGTAAAGCTTATGCAACGTTGGATGTTGCTGTTACAAATGGGTTATATCTTCACAGAAGTGTTGTTCAGCTACTAAAATCTTTCGATGAAAGATTGATAAGACTATTTTCAATTTCAAAAGGGACCTTTTACAGCATCGATATTGTAGATTTTAATTTGTTTAACAACAATACACAAGTAGCCTAAATACAGCTATTCCGCCTAGTCTCTCCCTATATTGTTTACCATGCAACTCTAAATATTCGCTCTGAAATAGCATGTCAGTTTGGCTCGCATGACGCTGGACAAGCACTAGTCGCTTTTTACACATGAGAGAGGGTTCTTTTGCGGTGCTCGTGTTTCAGGAGGCGTGGCTCTAGACTGCAGGGGAGGGACTGTGATTCAGAGATTTATGCTAAGCTGTTAGCATTGTGGAAGATTACCTACTGCACCTTTAAGGTTAGGATTCTAATATAACTATTAAAACCATATTATATATACTGCATGCATATATAAGAATTTTTGTTTTACGGTTAAATATTTTAGTTTGTCTGGAAAAAAAAATAAAATAAAAAATATGGTCAATGTTATTAGCCTCCTTAAGAGTTATCTGTCAGAATGCTAACGTTAGCATAATTTAGAAAATTTACGTCCCTCCCCTGCCGTCCAAAGCCACTCTTCCTAAAGTCATAAACGTGCACTGAATAGATGATGATCTGATTATGATAGACAAACTTGTATAACACTAGATCATGTCGTTCACCAGTTAGAAAAATCAATTCACACACTTTGTCTAGCATAGCTGTTGACAGTCCAGCGGGTGCAGGAATTATATTTCCCCAACACTGGCATTTGGGTAAAGTATTTTTTGCAAATTCTAAATAGTGAAATCCATATAAACTGCCAATGACTAAAAAATACAACATTTCTCACAGTCAATTAAGTCATACCCACACACTATTTCAGACCAATGTTCAAAGCAACGTTACAGTGGGAGCGTCACAGGCTGTCACTGTTTAAAAATGAATGAATGTGTGAATATAAATCAAATTTCACCTCAGTAAAGCTGCTCAGGTGGAAGAGCACTTTTTACTTCTGTTTTAGAAGTAAATTCTAAAAACGAGATCTGCTTCCTTCATGTCTGTCACTGTGCTGTTTATTTTAACATAAAATAAAAAATCAGAAACATGCGGTCATCTTTTTTACATTAGCCTTATCTTACCAAAACAACGAGTGACTTTTCATTTTCAATTGTACTGATCCTCAAACATCATTCGTTTTCAACTCCTTTTACACTTAAATCTACACTAGTTTTAAAACACACCTGTCTAAAACTAATACTTCAGCCGTGGTGTCATCCTTCAGATCGTTGTTTCTAACTGCATAACATCATTTCCCTCCAGTGCACAAAATTAACTCTGATATTGATTCAGGGTTTAAAAAAGTTTTAATTCTGCATTTTTGGCAGAAGCCCTTTCAAAAGCAATCTCTCTTTTCACGGATACAAGGCCACATTGGTTTTTCAGAAAGAGGTTCAGGTTGATGCTGCTCATTCTGTTAGCTGTAGATCCATGCTTCACATGCACTGGCAAATAACTGATCTGTCTGTGTGTACAGGCTGCACAGAAATTCGTATTTAAATTTGTTGACAGATAGTTTGAGTTACCTGTCATAATTGAGATATTTGTCAGCTCAACGATTTTTAATTGGACAAACTTTTTCTTTTTGTTTAATGTCTACCCCAGAATATAAAAATACATGTACATACATTTAGATCATTTACTTTAATCATTATTATTGGAATGTGAAAATTCTTTTAACCAGCACAACAAAAAAGTCATTTGTTGACAGTGGACTGATATTGTCCTGACTCTCCTCCACTGTGATTTGATGGTCCATTAGTCAATGTTAATGTATTTATTAACATTAACGAAGTTTAAATAATCTTGTGAATCATTTATCAATCATAGTTCAACATTAACTAATACATTATTAAAATCCCAATAATTCACATTAACAAAGACAAATAAATACCGTAATAAAAGTATCACTAATAGTTTGTTCATGCTAGGAAATGCATTTACTAATGGATCACTATTTTAAGGTGTTAATGACTTGACTAATTAGAACAGGGGTTTTCAATCTGTGGGTCGCGACCCACTAGTGCACGGCTGTCAAACTTAATCCCTGGAGGGCCGAAGCCCTGCACAGTTTAGTTCCAACCCTGCTCCAACACACTTACCTGTAGGTTTCAAACAAGCCTGAAGGACTCAATTAGTTTGATCAGGTGTGTTTATTTAGGGTTGGAACTAAACTGTGCAGAGCTGTGGCCCTTTTGGAACTGAGTTTGACACCTGTGCACTAGTGGGTCGCACAGTGAACAAAGGTGGGTCACGCAACGTCACATAGCTGCAGCTATATTTACATTGCGGTGAATCAAAACCAGTACGATTGACAATAACTCAAAAACCTCTTACCCTAAAAACATCTAGTGTGTTTCCTACAAAAAGACAAAGCTGGTTATGTTTCACAGCTGGCTTTTTCTTTTTTATTCGCTCAACATTACGAGCACTGCTTCGTTTGAGCTCTCGCAATCTGCGTTTAGCCGGAAGAGCTCGCACAGAGCTGAGCTCTCAGTAAGGGACCATCGGAAAAGTGCTTTTTTTTTTTTTTGCTTCGTTCTGCATGTTTTATTTTAAACATGACTAATTTTCTCTTAAATGAGCACAAACAGTTACTAAAGTAGTCGAATGCTTCATTATAGATCTGTGCATTCTTACATTAACTCCTCT